TACTCGTTAGCACTCGTTGGAGGATCCTCCAGAATTGCAGGGTGTATAGGAGTGCCGAGTTCTGTGGTACTGACCATAGATTGGTTGTGGCTACCCTCCGAGTCCATTTCAAAACCCCCCAGCGGACCAATGATCACCCCAGGGTGTTTCACTTGGACAGGCTGAGGGAGGGGGAATGTGCCCGGGGGTTTGCTGAGGCAGTCTCTGGTCGTTTCACAGCGCTCGAAAATCTGACGGACCCTGTACTTCTGTGGGACACCTTCAAACGTGAAACGCTTGATGCAGCTCAAGATACGATTGGTGTACGCCCGAGAGCAATACAGAATTCCATCTCGCAGGAGACACTGAAGCCACAGATGCATGTCGTGCGGCTCTTCTGACAGGGGATCGGGAATTGCACCATTCTCATGTGCGCAGAACTCGGTCCCTGTTAAGAAGGGACAAGGAACAGTTTATTAGAATCTTGCAGAGGAGGTAGAAGGCCATTTCTTAGTAAATGACCTTCGTCCTGCATACCAAGCCCTGAGAAAGCTGAACTCCAAGCCCTCTTCACAGGTGACAGCAGTTCACTCAGTAAGTGGTCAGATCATTTCAGATCCTGTTGCGGTGCGGGGACGTTGGGCTGAGTATTTTGAGGCAGCTGTACCAGGTTGACCCACCAACAGTTAACTTGGATGCGGGTAGTGTCGAGATCCCGCTGCCGGATCCACCTATCATTGAGGACCCTCCCTCCCTAACTGAAGTTAGGGGGCGATTTCCAAGCTGAAGAGTGGTAAAGCAGCTGGTATCTGCGGCATACCAGCAGAACTGTTAAAGGCTGGAGGTGAACCTATGGCACGGGGTTACATGCTGTCCTGGCTGCCATCTGGCAGTCCGGTTCCGTTCCTCCTGACCTGTTGAGGGGTTGTGGTCATCCTTCTCTGGAAGGGGAAGGGGACCGTTGGACTGCAGCAATCACCGAGGCATCACACTGCTCAGTGTAACCAGGCAAGGTTCTCGCCCACATCCTTCTGAGACGTATCAGAGACCATCCACTGAGGCACCAGAGACTGGAGCAATCTGAATTCACTCCTGGTAAGTCCACAATAGACCATTCCTTGCGCTTCGAGTCATTGTAGAGCGCCGTCGTGAGTTCGGCGTGGGCTGCTTGCAGCCTACATCGACCTCAAGAAGGCGTTCGATACGGTGCATCGGGAGTCACTTTGGGAGATACTGAGGCTGAAAGGAATACCAACAAGGATTATTGGACTAATAGCAAGCCTGTATACTGGTTCTGAAAGTGCTGTAAAGTGTGGTGGGGGCCTGTCGAGCTTCTTTCCTGTTAGTTCAGGAGTGAGGCAAGGCTGTGTCCTTGCACCAACTCTTTTCAACACTTGCATGGACTGGATACTGGGCAGAGCTACTGTTCAGTCATTGTGGGGCAACGCTGGGCAATATCAAGTTTACGGACCTTGACTTTGCTGATGACGTTGCCATTCATCTGAGTCTTTGGAAACCCTAGTGGCGGCTCTCGATGCATTTAGCAATGAAGCGAAGCCCCTGGTCTAGAGGTCTCCTGGACCAAGACCAAGGTCCAGGAATTTGGGACTTGTTAGGAAACCTGTTCAGTCGGTACGTGCTTGCGTCGAGGACATTGAAGTCACAGAGAGCTTTACATACCTTGGTAGTGTAGTTCATAACTCTGACGGATTGGCCTGGCAGCAGGGGTCATGAACTCTCTCAACAAGAGTATTTGGAGATGTCGGTACCTGTGCAGAAGGACCAAGCTACGGGTTTTCAAGGCCCTGATAATGCCAGTTTTGCTATACGGTAGCGAAACCTAGACATTGTCCTGTGCCTTGGAGGCTCGTCTTGAAGCCTTTTGTAATAGGTCCTTGCGCCAGATCATGGGGTACTGTTGGCGGGACCATGTGTCCAACCAACGGTTGCACCGTGAGACTGGCACAAGACCGCCAACTCAGGCTATATGGCCACCTGGCTCACTTTCCTCAGGATGATCCTGCCCATCGGGTCGTCTCTGTTCGAGACAACCCTGGGTGGAGGAGGCCTGTGGGACGACCGAGGAAGTCATGGCTTGGGCAGATCGACCAAACCTGCCGTGAAGAACTAGAGATGGGCCGAGTCCCTGCCTGGCGTCTAGCCATGAGGGATCCTCGTAGGTGGAAGCGAAGGGTGGATGCGGCTATGCGCCCCCGTCGGCGTCAGCCCCCATGATGACGATGATATGTACACACACACACACATGTGTGTGGCCACATTTCATTCATTATCTAATTATTCAGAAAACTACGTATAAGTAATAAGAGAAGGTACAAAAAAGATACAAAAGATACAATATTTACTAAATAAAATGAATTATTTGTAAGAGATATTGATACAAATAATTGATCACTAATCGGAGTTATTAACATTGCTCATATTTTTCTTTGGAAATTTTTAAATATAGCAATATACATTTTGGATTATCATATTAATTATCATTTTCTTACCATTCATATTTTCTTTTTTTCATCTTTTATCATTCACATTTTCTCATTATTCATATTTTCTATCAGTCATATCTTATTACTGATATTTTCTTATTATTATTCATATTTTTGATTTTTCATATTTTCTATTCATATTCTTTATCATTCAACTTTTCTTATATTCATGTGTTTTATTGTTATTTTTCCTATTATTCATATTTCTAATCATTCATATTTTCTTACTATTCATATATTTAATCATTCATATTTCCATCATTCACATTTTTAATTATCCATAATTTCTTACTATTCACATTTTTAATATTTCCATTATTCACATTTTTAATTATTCATATTTTACACATTATTATATCTTTTATCATTCATATTTCCTTATTCACATTTTTTATCATTCATATTTTGATTCAAAACACTCTACACTCGGCAGCTGATACACTGAACATTCCGCCATACCAGATTTATTATTCTCATTATCATTATTACAATTGATATTATAATAATTACTGTTGTTACTATTTCTATTTTATTCATTATCATCATTATTATCATTTGTCATTATCATCATTTTCATTAATATCATTATCATTATGGTTACAATCATCATTTTCATTAATATCGTTATCATTATGGTTACAATCATTATAATAATCATCATCACTATCAAGTAACATCCTTATCATTATCATCAAATCTATTATCCTCATTATTATCATATATTACTCTTTTTCATATAAACATTATGAACAGACTGAAAAACTGTTACTTATACAAGTGGTTATTATAAGTACGTCGGGCCAGAGCTTCAGAATTAGATCATGGAATAGGGAAAATAAGTTATTCCGGAATAGGGAAAATAACTTATTTTGGAATAAGGAAAATAGTTATTCCGAAACAAGGAAAATATTTATTCTGGAATATGGTAAATAACTTCTGGAATAAGGAAAATAACTTCTAGAAAAAGGAAAATAGTTATTCCGAAACAAGGAAAATAAGTTATTCCGGAATAGGGAAAATAACTTATTTTGGAATAAGGAAAATAGTTATTCCGAAACAAGGAAAATAGTTATTCTGGAATAAGGAAAATAACTTCTAGAAAAAGGAAAATAGTTATTCTGGAATAAGGAAAATAACTTCTAGAAAAAGGAAAATAAGTTATTCCGGAATAGAGAAAATGGTTATTCTGGAATAAGGAAACTAACTTATTCCAGAATGAGGAAAACTAATTACGGAATAAGCAAAATACGTAATTCTGGAATAAGCAAAATAACAAATTCCGGAATAAGCAAAAGAACTAATTCCGGAATAAGCCAAAATAGGTTATTCTGGAATATAGAAAATTATTCATTCAGGAAATTTGCAAAAAAAAAAAAAAAAAACATATTTCGTAAAAGGAAAATAACTATAAATGATGTATTTTGTATCCTCTCCCTTGCATTCTCCTCCTCCATAGGCCCGGGTTCTAGTCGGACCCAACCCCGGCTCCTGTGCTACTTCTGGCTACTCCCACATGTCTGAAGCCTCCTCCCGGGCTTCGAAAACTTTCTGGATGATATAACATGATGATATATAGTTTCTATTTAAGTTCATTATAGAGGTTCTGGTCTTCTTTTTCTACGAGTGGATGATATAACATGATATATAGTTTCTATTTAAGTTAACTATAGAGGTTCTGGTCTTCTTTTTCTACGAGTGGATGATATAACATGATGATATATAGTTTCTATTTAAGTTAACTATAGAGGTTCTGGTCTTCTTTTTCTACGAGTGACTTATCAGAAACTGGCCGAAGGAAGTCCTTGATCTGGATTCCCTGGAGGCCTCGAATGGAGCGATAAGGGCTGGACAGAAGGGTGATAATCCCAGTCTAAAGTCGAAATGTAAATAATGGCAAGCCTCTGGCGTCTACCACCCAGACTCAGCCTTGGTCCCAGAGACAGCTCCGGCCTCCCAGACTCAGCCTTGGTCCCAGAGACAGCTCCGGCCAGAGGGTCGATAAGCCGTGAAATGAGGCTTGTGGAACCCTTGGCTATGTGATGATATATGTACAATGGAAATATATATACATATACATAGTTATTATTATAATAATAACAATAACAGCAATAATAATGTCAATCGCAATAACTATGATAATATTAGGAATGATAATCATAATAATAACATTTAAAACAAATAAAACAATATCAGTAATGATGCTGGGACGATAATGATGATAATGATAATAATGATCATATTGATAATAAAATAATAGTAGTTATAATAACAGCAATGATAATAATAATAACAATAAAAACAGCAGTGATATGATAGCCGTCCTCATAACAATGGTATTAATAACATTGATTGATAATACGGGTAATACATTGAAGAAAGAGGGTGGATGAGAGAAGTAGTAGGTAGAGAGAAAAGGAATAACTGTATTTTGATATAAAGACATAATTAAGTTAAAGAAGAATGATGATCTTGATAATAATAACAATTGCTATTGTTATTTTTGGTGTTGTTTTTATCATCACTGTTATCATTATTGCAACAACAACTAGCAGCACTTAGATAGCGCATACCTCTTTTTCAAGTACACTGGTGACGTCCGTGTCTCCCTATCTCGCAGTGCTAACGAATCCTATAAAATTCCTTTATCCGGATCATGATCTGGTGGCATCTAATTCGGACTAAGACATACCTCTAGTAAAAAGTTTTATAAAAATCTGTTCATAACTTTTTAAGTGATCCTGCTCACCAACCAACAAACTAACAAACCAATGCTACCAAAAACAATAACTTCTTTGGTAGAGATAATAAGGACGCTAGTAACAGAGCATCAATAACAATCTTACAGCATATAAGTCACCTCAATAGACCACAAAATATCTGTCTCAACACACAGCAGCACAAGTATAGAGAGCAATCTGTACAAATTCTCACTTTCTACTGAGACAGCGGGCAGTATAGACCATCGCCACTTTCTGCTGAGACAGTGGTCCATAAAATTCCTGCTGAGACAGCTGTCTATACACTTTCGGAGAATGGTCCACGCACTTTCGGCTAAAACAGTGGTTCATACACTTTCTGCGGAGAAAGTGTTCTATAAACTTTCTCCTGAAACAGTGGTCCACACACTTTCTGCTGAGACATTGGTCTGTACACTTTCTCTTGAAACAGCGCTATACATACTTTCAGCTAAAACAATGGTCCACACACTTTCTGCGGAGAAAGTGTTCCATAAACTTTCTCCTGAAACAGTGGTCCACACACTTCCTGCTGAGACACTGGTCCATACGCTTTCTCCTGAAACAGCGCTAGACACACTTTCAGCTAAAACAATGGCCCATACACGCACTGCTCAGACAATGATCCACATTTTCAGCTAAAACAGTGGTCCACACCCCTTCTGCTGAGACCACCCCCGTTTCCTACTGAGACACTGCTCCGTACAGACTATTCTCGCTGTCGTGTTCTGATTGAGGGCGTTGGGCGGCGTGGTTCAGGCCCTGGCAGAGGGACGGGGGAAGAAAGGCCGTGGGAATGTTGTCGTTTATCTCCTCATAGATGGCGTCGTCGTCGATCGGTTTTCTCGGGGCTGAATATGTTGCTGTGGCCAAGCCCTCGACTGAAGCTGCGTCGGGAGGCAGACGAAGGAGGGAAGGTTAGTTGGGGTGTCTTGGGTTCGGTGTGTAGGCCTATATAGCTGTATATTTCCGTCTTTCTGTCTACATATGTCTGTCTTTTTATGTTTATCTCTGTTCCTGGGTTTAAATACACACATATATATGTGTGTTTATATATATATATTATATATATATATATTATATATATATATATATATTATATATATATAATATATATGTAATATATATATATATTATATTATATATAATTATATATATATATATTATATGTAATATATTATATGTATATATATATATATATATATATATATATAATATATATATATATATATATATATACATATATATATATAATATATATATATGTAATATATATATATATAATATATATATATATATATATATATATATAATATATATATATAAATCTATCTCTCCCTCCCTTTCTAATATTTTTTCCTCTTTCTATCTCTTCCTGTCTTCTAACATTCTTTCCTTCTCTTACTAACTCTTCCTCTCTAACCCTATTTTCTCTCTTCGTAACCATTCTCCTCTCCAGCCCCCCTCTCTCTTTCACGTCCTCTCTTCCTCCCTCCATTTCCCTATTACCTCTCCCTTCTATTCCTTCCTCCTTCCTTCCCTCCTCCCCTCCCTAACTCTCCACCTTTCTCTTCCTTCCTCTCCTCCTCGTCCTCTCTGTCTACCTACCGCCGCCTGTTGCTCCACCTCTCTTTACCCCTACTCTTTTACCTTCCCTTCTTTCCCTACCTCCCTTGCCCCCCATTACACAGCCTACACTCATCTTTCCCCCTTACACAGCCTACACTTACCTTTGATTCTCATTACGGAGAAGATTCTCACGCACAGAGCCAAGCTAATGAGCAAGAGCAACGCGCAGAGAGCGGCCATGCCATACACGGCGTACAGCAAGGTCTCCTGGTTCCCTTGGCATTCTTCCTCTTGGGGTTTGCCGTCCTTAGAGGATGGTGGGGTGGAAGGGGAAGGTGGTGGGGTGGTCCGCTCATCACGACCTTCCCCACACGCTGTCGGGGTGGTCGTAGCCCGCTGTGTTGGGTCTGTGCGTGGACGGAGAGGTTGTTAGGTATGTGCGGAGGTGATTACTGCTTTTGAGATACGGTCAGTTTGTTACATTTGCGCGAGGCCCGACCCAGTGAATATTCGAATGTTTGACATGTATAGATGCAGAAATAAATGCATATCTATCTGTCTAGGCATGCATATCTACCAGGTAGACAGACAAATGTATACATATCAGATAGATAGACAGATATGCATTCATTTCTGTGTATATACATGTCTATCTATACGTACACTCATTGTCTCGGGCCTTGCACAATCTTAACAAACCTACTGATGATTTG